TTTTTTACACCACTCTTTTTTTTTTTGTGGGGAGTCTGTGGGAGAAGTACCGAGATCCTTCACTTTAGGGGGGGGGGGGGAAATCTGGGGGCCCCCTTTGTTAAAGGGGGCTTCCAGATTTGATAAGCCCCCCCCGCCCCCCCACAACCCCCGGCCGGGGTTGTGGGGAAGGGCCCCCTTTTTTCCTAATCAACATGGGGACAAGGGCTTTGGGGGGGGGGGAGCCCCCCTGCCTCAAAGAAACCCCCCCCAGTTGGGGCATTCCCCGGGTATGGTTTCGGGGGGGGTGCTCGCTCGCCCCCCCCTTTTCCTGCCTGCCGGCATCTGGGGGCAGGGGGGGGGGGGGGGTGGCCTGGGCAGGGGGGGGGGGGCATGCTCGGAATTAAGGGTCCTTGGTAAATGGAAAGTGGAGGGGGGGACCCACGCTGTTTTTTTTTAAAAATTTCAAGCGTGGTAGTTCCCCCTTAATATCCATACCAGACCTGAAGGGCTTGGTAAGGGATTGAGACGGGGGGACCCACGCTGTTTTTTATATTTTTTTTTTTTTTATTGTGGTCTTTATTTTTACATTCAGCTGTCAAAATAAAAATTATCTAGACCTTTGAAATAAGTAAAATCATTACAGAAAATAATTTCTAAGGATAAGAAACAAAAATAGAATCACTAGAACTAAGGAAATCTCGTTAGATTACATGAAGATATGCCGAGTGCTGTTTATTAAACACAATAAGTCACGACGATGTTGAGTGCCGGGCTGTCAGAGGAATCCACAGTAAGATTCACTATTAGTCAGTGGCTAAAAAGCAAACGCCCATGGCAGAGTCTAAAATGTGTTCTGCACATGCTCAGTTTGTATCTGCCAAAGACACTGCACGGGCTTCTAGATTTTTACTGTGTCGATTTCCTTGAAAAAAACGATTTTTAACACATTCTTAATTTTTTTTGGAAATAGCAGATATTGTTTAAAGTGAAGTCCTGATATTTGGCAAAGCAAATTTCTAAGTGAACATGTCTCTGCAGTGATTTTTTTCATGGTTTTAGACTTGCTTCTTAGCAAGTCTGTTTTGTGAGTCTGATTTCGGGCGTGTGTCTTTTTGTGAATTAGATTGGGCATCTGCTTATGGGCTCTTGCTCAATAGTGAATTAGGTTGCAGGGTAAAAAAATAGACGGCCGCGCCATGAAAATTGGGCTTAAGCCCATAAATATGCGCCCACGCCCAATAGTGAATCAGGGCCATTGTGTCAGGAACAAGGTTAATTACTCAGCCCGTGGATTGACTTTCATTTACTGCCTTTGGTTAAAAGTTTGCCAGCATATGTCAGGGACGCAATCGATTTTTTTGGACACGTGATTCTCTGCATTTGATTTCATTCTTGTGTACAAGCATACCCAACGCTGCTGGTCTGGCAGCAGTGTGACCTTTTGTATCTAAATCGACATCTCAGTATCTCCCTTGTGAATATTTGATCAAATGTTTAAGATTTGTACTTGGAAAAAAAATGATTTGTGTTTGAGGGAACAACATACACCCAAATATGGGGCATAGCTATGGCCAGGCTCTGCTGCTCCCTCATTCGCAAACCTGTTTGGATAAATATTCCATTTCTCCATGTATCCAACAAACATCTTTTTTCATGTCAAATGCTGGTTAAGGTAAATAAATGACATTTTCCTCATTTGGGGTGGAGATGAGCCTGCTTTTTTGAACTGATATTTTGAATTGATATTTTTGGGATAATTTGAACAAGGTATTCCCTGGCATAGTATTCAATCTGAAGATTTCCACATGTATTATCATTTTGATGTAAGGATTACAAATGAGCGGGGTTCAGTCAAGACATCTGTTTTTACAAAACCCACAGATAGGAACACCATCATTAGAGTGCACCCCCCCCGAGCCCCACCTGAACAGTCTACCTGTCTCACAGTTCAAGAGAGTCTTACATATTTGTTCCAGTAATACTGAAAGGAAGCAACAGCTAGAGGTTATGTATGCAAAATTCTTGGAGCATGCTTACACTACTACAATACTCAATCAGGCTTTGGCAAAAGCTGCTATGGATCTGTAAAGGACCTCTAAGACTGTTGATAGGCCACTGTTCATACATACATTAAATTTGTGAATCAGATTGCATTCATTGAGCAGCAATTCATAAATCTTGACATCCTTAGGTCAGATGATACACTAGAAGTTGGTCTTAAAACTCTGCCAATGCTTGTCTACAAATGCAGGAGGTATATAAAGGATCTGCTGATACAAGCAGACCCCACACTTAACTGGGTTAAAAACCTTGTTCATGATATCACACAAACAGGGTGCTATAGGTGCCATAATTGCAACATTTGCAATTCCCTAATATGTGGCAAAAGTTTTATACACCCACACAGGGGTAAGCCCTACCGTATACATGATTACATGAACTGCAATACAGATTACTGCATCTACAGCTTGAAATGTTCATACTGACTATTGTACATTGGCATGGCAGTAGGCTTTCAAACAATGTCTCTGGCTGTAATTTCTTGCAGCTTCACAGCTGGCTACCCACTGCACATGGGTGAGCTGCGCAGTGAGCCTGTTCCTCAAACAGACTAAATCTGTCCCAAGCCTCTCACTGCTCATCTAAAGCTTAGTATACTTGTAGAGTTTTTTTCACTCCTCCAGTGGGTTGAACAAAAAAACTCACCAATCCCTGCATCCACGCAATGCATGGATCCTGCATCCCCGCTGCACTATTGTATTTTGAAAGCGGATACTCCCCCTCTGTCAGAATATACAGAATAGCATTGTACCAGTGGATCGAATACTAGTTTTTCAGAGTGTTCAGCCATTAATCCCTTGCCTACTGCTAAAGAGCCAGACTGTAGGGAGGCAGTAAGCTTACCTGATACAATGCAAAAAGTTTGGGCAACAAATACACTCCATCCTGAATCATGCTGTTGACCATCTGAGGCTATCTTTCATAATACAGAGTTTATAAAGGGAAATAAACTAATTTCTAGGAGTGCATATCATTTTAAAAACATCTAATGCCATAAAATATAAAAAAAAAAACTAGTAAAAACTATTATATGATATAATATAATACAATGACATACTCATACAAATTAGAAGCGCTGGAGCAAGCAAAAACAAGGCTTTCATATACACAGGTGCAAATACCAAAAAGGCATTGGTAAATGTAAAGCTGGCAGCTGCTTTTTGGGGCATAGAATGAGTCCAAAACGGATAACACTCCTCTCTGGAACACATGGCGGATGAAAACTGGAAGTGCAGCTCATGTCTTCCGGAAATGCTCCGATATGTGTTTCTGCTGCTATATCCACCGGTATACATCACGTCCAGTGCCACGGGATATGCATCATATCCAGTGTCACTGGGCAATGTAAAGAACCCAGAAATGGCTGCCAAAAGGGGACACTGGGACAACTCAGATAATACATAGCGCCAGCTGTCTGAAGGTAGTGTGAATACTGCAATCTAATAAATACTGTATATGCATAATGATAAATGTTAATTCAAATGACCATAAATCATAATTGATGTTATATGCATAATGTAGCAAACTAAAACTATGGGGAAAGGAAATATAAATGTAGTACACTTGTATATATGTGTCCAGTGCATCCTCTCTAGAAAACCCTAATGACCCAATGGTATATCACAATTAAAATCATAATAAAACATGGAAACAGTGATATGTAAACACCATATCAAATTCCAAATGGATGGCTATATAAAGTTAGTTCAATTACTTAATTTTATAAAAAGAAATATAAGAGAGCGCATATAATGACATCTTATAGTTGGTGTTATACCTAGTAGTCGTTAGTACTGTAGGGTATAGGTAATAATTTATATATTCATAAATTCACATAAAAAGAGTATAAAAGCAAGTTCTAAAAAATTGTATGTAAAATTATATAAATAAATTAATTACGGATAAATAATTGCTGCTAGCACTTAAGGTATTGGTAACTGTCCCAATTTAAACGTATATCATAAACGTGCAGCGCTGTAAACTCATGAAACATAAATATCTTATATCATACTTGAATATATAAAGTGCAAACAAGTGCGTGAATAGTGCAATCAAATAAATCACTGAGAGTCCGTGACGACCACAAATATTATACAGCAGGCAGTGAAAACTGCTAATGTCCTTTATCCAAGTGTGCAAGTGCAAACGTTTGGTTATTGATGAAGAGAATCCACCGCTTCGGATGGATGTACACTCACCAGACTGCAAGTATATCAGCGCATCTGTTTATATCACACATCTGGGGGTATAATGACAGCTCCGGATTTACTCCTGCAGCTCCCTCCATCCATCAGTTGGGGCAGGTGTCCTCTAATCCTTGGGGGAATCGGCTCAACCACAGGAGCCAGAAAGTGCTTATATAGTGCAGCATTTATTGATGAGCTTAAATCACAGCAGTAAGAAAACATCCACGTGGAGTAAATAAATTGTAAAATCAAAAACCAAGATGGCCACCGCTCCTCGGTAGTGGCGGCGTGACGTCAGCAATGTAGGCTCCCAACGTGTTTCATGTGACAGTACGTCCTCAGGGTTATGCCCATTGCCAACATCTTGTTTAAACACCCTTTATATAGCCTGGAAGGCACCAAATGTCAAATTGACCGGCGCCATTTTGCCGGTGATTTTCAGTAACGTGATTGACCACAGCCATTTTCCCGTAGTCTCCAGTGATTCTATCTTGTCAAATGGGAGATCGTGGCCATTTTCTTGTGGATAATTTACAATGCCTTTTCGGTTATAACCAAACATGATTGGATGTTTATTTCAACTTATACCAGCGCAAAACCCACAAAACAATAAAATACATCACCCAACCCATAAATAATAATTACTAAAAATATCACAATCTTAAATTACACTGTGACACAAAAATATTAATTCAATTATTAATGAAATAAAAAATATATATAATTTGAAAAATAATAAGTCCAGTGACAAAATCCAAAAAAACAGTCCCGTGAAAAAATTATATTTTCATTGGATTCTTCCGTGCCAGGGATACCTCCATCATCCACCTGTGCAAAACCAACATTAACCGCACTCACCAGATAATGGTGAGTAAAACGCCTTTCAGGGATATTAAGGGCCCTCGGACCCCCTTTACTTTGTATATGACCTCCAAATATTGCCTCCTCTAGGATATGGACACCTCCTCTGGTTACTCCTCTCAACCGACTCCCCCAGAGAAAATCAGGAAGAAGAAAAGAACATAGTGTGATACCGTAATGATTTCCAATCTTAAAAGAATTTTTCCAGACCACTCACATTTTAGCAGATATTAACCCGCATTTTATTGAAGCAAAACGATCTTTCTTTCATAAAAACGATCTTTCTTTCATAGAAAACGATTTCTGTATAGAGACCCCACAGCCAGGTATACAGCAGGATAACAGACCTCAGATGCAGACTCATCCACTATGCAAAGATGGCCCCTTGGAACGCACCACTCGGCGTGCGTTCCACTCACCGGAAATGACGTCAGACGCCGGGACAGGCAGCCGGAAATACGTCAACGCGTTTCGCCCCACCCACAGGGCGTTCTGAAGACACTCTTTTCCTCTGCCAAGCCAATTATAAAGCAGTGGGAGATCCCTCCCACTCATTACCCTGGACACAAAATACCGCCCACCCATCCATCACCATTATCCCTCTGTATACTCATGTGAGGTCTCCTCACAGCTAAAACAATTACATTAAAACCATACTCTTATCCATAACCTCATGTCTTCTAACCCTTAAACATAAGGGTAGAGACAGGAAATTAAAATACATTAATTAATTAAAATAAAAAATACAAATAAATATAAATAAAAATATAAATAAAATTAAAATAAACATAAAAATACAAAAATACAAATAACCCCTACTCATGAAACAGCACTTCGGACATTAACTATATTCTACCAATTTGACAAGAAACAATTTATATCAATATCTGCATTCAACCCATTGGGATACAATGTACCCATCTAATATATCCACTTCGTTTCATTTTGAGAAACACTTTTTATCATATTTCCCCCTCTACAAGGAGCCTCTACTCTATCTATCCCACAAAATCTCAATGATGCTGGATCCCTATTATGGTATTTTCTGAAATGATATGACAAACTGTGATGTTTATGTCAGGGCTCCGGGTATTATCAGAGGTATGTGAACTGACGCAGGGGAAACGCAGGCTTCAGATATGTTATAAACAATATAATTTATTAATACTAACAATACATAAATGCAGTGCAATACTAAAACATAACACAGTGCAAACGAACCAAACCAAACCACCCACAGATAACAATACATACAGTGCGAGCGTAGTCAGGCAAGCCGGGTCAATAACAATCGGGCAGGTAGGAACAGGAGGAGCAGGCAGAGAGTAGTCAGGTCATGAGCCGGGTACAGCAACTAACGGGCAGGTAGGTACAGGGGGTCAGGCAGAGAATGGTCGGGGTCACAAGCCAGGGATCAAACAGGAGAAGTCAGCAGAGGTCCAGATCAGGCAGGGTCGGCAACAAATTAGTCAGACAGGAACAGGAACAGGAATGCAGGTAACAAGATACAGGGGCCCATGGAAAAACACACACCAAGGCACAGACTGCAGGTCCGGCCATCCCCCAAACACACCCGCAACCAGCCCCGGCGGACCGCAGGGCCGAGTCCCTGATCGCTGAGAGCACCCGCCTGCCAGCCCCGGCACCGCAGCCCACAAGGCAGGCGAGCCCCACCACCACCAGCAAGTCCACCCCCGACAGTTTAAATCCCTTCTTTATGTTTCTAATATGTTCTCCCAACCTGGTGGCAAGTTTTCTCGTTGTTCTCCCTATATACTGGAGTTTGCAAGAACACTCCAGCAAATAGGTGACATGCGTACTATCACATGATATGAACTTTTTAATCTTATAGGATGCACCATTAAACAGGATTGAAAATCCTCATAGTGCCTTTTATTATCTCCTTTAAAGGATCTGCAAGCTATACATCTCCCACATTTGAAAAAACCAGCCCTATCAAGAAATGTTACCAATTTCCTAGGTACATCTGGAACATTTTTCACAAGCCATGTTCTTAAAGTTGGTGGTTTTCTATAAATAAACAACGGTTTCACAGGTAGCACTTTTCTCAGGGTTTCATCCCTTTTTAAAATTGGCCAATATTTTTTGATGATGTTTTCAACCAATTTATAATGCTTGGAATATCCTGTAATAAAAGCCAAATCTCCTAGATTCTTTTCATTTTCTTTTTTCTTTAAAAGTTCTTCTCTACTTATCCTTTTAACCTGCTCCAGTGAAACAGCCAGATTTTCTTCTCCATAACCTTTTTCCCTAAACCTTTGCAATAACAACTCAGATTGCTCAAAAAAAATACCTTCATCATCACATTAGGGATTAGGGAGAACAACGAGAAAACTTGCCACCAGGTTGGGAGAACATATTAGAAACATAAATAAGGGATTTAAACATCACAGTTTGTCATATCATTTCAGAAAATACCATAATAGGGATCCGGCATCGTTGAGATTTTGTGGGATAGATAGAGTAGAGGCTCCTTGGAGAGGGGGAAATATGGTAAAAAGTGTTTCTCAAAATGAAACGAAGTGGATATATTAGATGGGTACATTGTATCCCAATGGGTTGAATGCAGATATTGATATAAATTGTTTCTTGTCAAATTGGTAGAATATAGTTAATGTCCGAAGTGCTGTTTCATGAGTAGGGGTTATTTGTATTTTTGTATTTTTATGTTTATTTTAATTTTATTTATATTTTTATTTATTTTTATTTCTATTTTTATTTTTATTATTATTTTTATTTATATTTTTTGTTTTTTTTTATTTTATTTGTATCTGTATTTGTATTTTTATTTTAATTAATTAATGTATTTTAATTTCCTGTCTCTACCCTTATGTTTAAGGGTTAGAAGACATGAGGTTATGGATAAGAGTATGGTTTTAATGTAATTGTTTTAGCTGTGAGGAGACCTCACATGAGTATACAGAGGGATAATGGTGATGGATGGGTGGGCGGTATTTTGTGTCCAGGGTAATGAGTGGGAGGGATCTCCCACTGCTTTATAATTGGCTTGGCAGAGGAAAAGAGCGTCTTGAGAACGCCCTGTGGGTGGGGCGAAACGCGTTGACGTATTTCCGGCTGCCTGTCCCGGCGTCTGACGTCGTCATTTCCGGTGAGTGGAACGCACGCCGAGTGGTGCGTTCCAAGGGGCCATCTTTGCATAGTGGATGAGTCTGCATCTGAGGTCTGTTATCCTGCTGTATACCTGGCTGTGGGGTCTCTATACAGAAATCGTTTTCTATGAAAGAAAGATCGTTTTTATGAAAGAAAGATCGTTTTGCTTCAATAAAATGCGGGTTAATATCTGCTAAAATGTGAGTGGTCTGGAAAAATTCTTTTAAGATTGGAAATCATTACGGTATCACACTATGTTCTTTTCTTCTTCCTGATTTTTTCTGGGGGAGTCGGTGAGAGGAGTAACCAGAGGAGGTGTCCATATCCTAGAGGAGGCAATATTTGGAGGTCATATACAAAGTAAAGGGGGTCCAGGGGCCCTTAATATCCCTGAAAGGCGTTTTACTCACCATTATCTGGTGAGTGCGGTTAATGTTGGTTTTGCACTGGTGGATGATGGAGGTATCCCTGGCACGGAAGAAATCCAATGAAAATATAATTTTTTTCACGGGACTGTTTTTTTGGATTTTGTCACTGGACTTATTATTTTTCAAATTATATATATTTTTTATTTCATTAATAATTGAATTAATATTTTTGTGTCACAGTGTAATTTAAGATTGTGATATTTAGTAATTATTATTTATGGGTTGGGTGATGTATTTTATTGTTTTGTGGGTTTTGCGCTGGTATAAGTTGAAATAAGTTTTTTGGTTTTGCACCTGTGTACAGCAGCATCTCACGGGGAATAGTGTGTGGAATAAGAGAATCCTGAGCGCTGAGGTTTTTTCTCTCTTTACATGATTGGATGTTTGTATTTCCATTTATATTCATTTAATCTCTTTGCAAAATGGTGTTAGAATCTTTCTATCTCTTCAATATATATCTTTGAATCCTGCATTATGGGGATGTATGGGAGAGTAATGTTACTCCTGGTTGCCAGAATTACTTGATTACTCCAGGTACAAATTAAGAGTATTAGTATTAATAGGTATATTATTGAAATATGATTAAGAGATAAATATGGAAATGGCTAACAGTAATAAGCGCCTTGCAGGTATATACTTGGGCATCATATATAGTTAAAAATTATTATAAGTTATATTATGACAATAAACGCATGGTAATACATTATTATAAAATTATTAAGAAGTATTTTATGAATATGTAAAATTCAACATCATATAAAGTCCATATAAAAATAGTTATAATAAGATATATAAAATCATGAAAAAAATTATGAAACAAATTTGAAAATTTATGAGAATAATTGGGTATATAATCATAAAAAATAATATGAATCCTGCGATTAATTATCTTAAGAGAGATCCACATATAACATTTGTAAAAACAAAACTCATGGTTGTTAAAATGATTCTATACATTAATTAGACCCAGAATTGTTAAACCTTATTTAGGATATACAGATGAAACTCCAAAAATTTGAATATCGTGCAAAAGTTCATTTATTTCAGTAATGCAACTTAAAAGGTGAAACTAATATATGAGATAGACTCATTACATGCAAAGCAAGACAGTTCAAGCCGTGATTTGTCATAATTGTGATGATTCTGGCTTACAGCTCATAAAAACCCCAAATCCACAATCTCAGAAAATTAGAATATTGTGAAAAGGTGCAATATTCTAGGCTCAAAGTGTCCCACTCTAATCAGCTAATTAAGCCATAACACCTGCAAAGGGTTCCTGAGCCTTTAAATGGTCTCTCAGTCTGGTTCAGTAGGAATCACAATCATGGGAAAGACTGCTGACCTGACAGTTGTGCAGAAAATCATCATTGACACCCTCTATAAGGAGGGAAAGCCTCAAAAAGGTAATTGCAAAAGAAGTTGGATGTTCCCAAAGTGCTGTATCAAAGCACATTAATAGAAAGTTAGGTGGAAGAGAAAAGTGTGGAAGAAAAAGGTGCACAAGCAGCAGAGATGACCGCAGCCTGGAGAGGATTGTCAGGAAAAGGCCATTCAGAAGTGTTGGGGACTTTCACAAGGAGTGGACTGAGGCTGGAGTCAGTGCATCAAGAGCCACCACAAACAGATGGATCCTGAACATGGGCTTCAAATGTCGTATTCCTCTTGTCAAGCCACTCCTGAACAACAAACAACGTCAGAAGCGACTTACATGGGCTAAAAAAAACAGACCTGGTCTGTTGCTCAGTGGTCCAAAGTCCTCTTTTCTGATGAGAGCAACGTTTGCATCTCATTTGGAAACCAAGGACCCAGAGAATGGAGGAAGTATAGAGAGGCACACACTGCAAGATGCTTGAAGTCCAGTGTGAAGTTTCCACAGTCTGTGTTGATTTGGGGAGCCATGTCATCTGCTGGTGTTGGTCCACTGTGCTTCATTAAGTCCAGGGTAAACACAGCCGTCTACCAGGAGATTTTGGAGCACTTCATGCTTCCTTCCACAGTCGAGATTTATGGGGATGCTGACTGCATTTTCCAGCAGGACTTGGCACCTGCCCACACTGCCAAAAGCACCAAAACCTGGTTCAATGACCGTGGGATTACTGTGCTTGATTGGCCAGCAAACTCGCCTGACCTGAACCCCATAGAGAATTCTTAATAAGTTAAGAATAAAATCTTTATGTGCTTCATTGTACAGTATCTCTCTGTTTCATGCAGGTAATATTTTACTGCTTCCATTCTATGTGTTTAATACTTGTATACAGTGATGGCATGTCTGCTGTCACTAGAAATGTATTTGCTGTGATGGAGATTTATCCATAATTATTTATATAAGTTTACATATAATTTTTTAGAACTTGCTTTTATACTCTCTTTTTATGTGAATTTATGAATATATAAATTATTACCTATACCCTACAGTACTAATGACTACCAAGTATAACACTAACTATAAGATCTTATTATATGCGCTAGCTTATATTTCTTTCTATATTTATGTACTGGTGACCAATAGCTTGAGCAGCATTTAGTAAGCAGTACACATCCTATAAACATGGACATTTTTGAACTGAGGTCAAAGAGACCAGCTATCACAGAGGATGTATTCACTAAAGATGATACGAATGAGAATTTACATGGTTCATTTTTACACCTACAAAATCTTATTACTGCAGAAGTACATACATTGTGGGACATATCATTCCTTGAAAAATATATGGATGTAAGGATGAAATGATCCCAAGATCCCTACGGTGGGACATACCCCCAGAAAGGGACGTAAGTAACAGTGACCAGGAACGGTTCCAATATTTTAATAATGTTGGCATAGATCTTCTAAAATTCCTAATAATAAGGAAAAAGAAAAAACTCTTACGTTTAGATACGGAGATCAATAAAACAAGAGAAAACCTGACACCATTTATAGGTAATAAAGAGTATGAGGTGGAATCTGAAAAACTTCACTTCAACATGTCTTGGAGGCTACTGAAAAGGAACAAAGATGCAATAAGAAAAAGAAATACATGAGAGATGTTAATGACTACAAAGAAGGGAAGGTGTTTAAATGGCAACTATTGAAGGATAGGACAGAAACCCTGAAAACACAAGGAGTATGGTTTGAGGGGGATCACTCCATTCCTCGCCAACACATACCGACCAGAAGAAGACTGTCCAGTACAGATTCCAAAGTTCACCAACACTACAGAAAGAACACCCTAAGCAGTTCTTCTTCCATGGAAGATGAAGAAGAATACACTATAGCCACTTATAACATATATCAACTTCTACAAGAACTTCCTGGGAGAAATATAGGAATAAGTGACTTACGTCAATTACCACCAGGGAATAAAAATCATTTCAAAGGTAAACCAAGAAATCAGAATTATAGGAATCATAACCTGTATACACCTCCACAATACAGAGGACAACAAAACAGGGACAATTATACCTACAACCCATACCCGAGAGGCCCACAAAAGGGACACAAAGTACGGAACAATCGACAGAATCCATATTATGATTCCCCATATGTGAAAAGGGACTACCATCAAAACGGAGAACACTGGAAACAAACATATTGTCAGGAATGGACTTGCCAGTAATGGTGGGACTCACCTGCCTTGTGGGCTGCAGTACCAGGGCTGGCCAGCGGGTGCTCCCAGCAATCAGAGACTCAACCCTGCAGCCAGCCAAACACCTGAAGTTGATTATGCAGGTGTATTTAAGGGATGGCCAGACCTGCAGTCTCTGCCTTGGTGTGTGTTTTTTTTGGGCCCTGTATCTTGTTCCTGCATCCCTGTTCCTGCATCCCTGTTCCTGTTCCTGTCCCTGTCCCTGTCTGATTCGTTGCTGACCCTGCCTGATCCGGACCGCTGCTGACTTCTCCTGTTTTATCCCTGGCTTGTGACCCCGACCATTCTCTGCCTGACCCCCTGTACCTACCTGCCCGATTGTTATTGACCCGGCCTGCCTGACGACGCTTGCATTGTATGTACTGTTATCTGTGGGTGGTTTGGTTTGGTTCGTGTGCACTGTGTTATGTTTTAGTATTGCACTGCGTTTATGTTTGTATTGTTAGTCTTTAATAAATTATATTGTTTATAACTTATCTGAAGCCTGCGTTTTCCTGCGTCAGTTCACATACCTCTGGTCATACCCTGGAGCCCTGACATTACACCAAGGCCAATCCTGACCAGAAGTGGCTGCACAGGGAAGCCATCTTGGCTTGTTGCTGGGAAGGATGGATCTTGATGAGGTTGTGTATTTATCTCTGCTAGTGTTTGATGACAGAGAGTATGCTTATCAAACTCTGAAGGAGTATCCCAGGGATGAACTGCTAGAATGTATACGGATCGCTCATTGCTTAGTAGATCAGGGCACAGAGTTCTCTGAGGTGCAGCCATTGATTCAGGTTTGTGCTGAGTTGGTTTCATCTGGTACCCCCGAATGCAGGGATGAATTTTTGCCGCCATTTAGTGCCGACCAGGTAGAGTCCCTGGTATAGTTATTAGAGGATGATGTGGATTACTTTCTGGAGCGTTATTCTGCATGTTCACAACAGGTACTAAGAGATTGTATAAAACGCAGTGCAGTCTTTGGTCAGACAGGCTTTGTGTAAGCTGAGCTTTGTTCAACCCATACTGCAGACATGGTCAGACTTGTTGCACCCAGCCTCAGTCAGCTTGCAAAAACCCAGTCCTGCTTCTAATCTATTTCTTCAAAGCTCTATTCCTGCATTCCCAACAGCCCAGTATACCCTGCTATCTACCGCATGTCAGTACCCTGTTCCCACTCGCTGCACCTATCCTGCCTTTAACCCTGTAAAGAAGCCCTCTGTAGCAACTGTTCCCTCCCCTTTTCCATCCTCCAGCTCTTCTCTGTCTCCAGCTGCTCCATCTGTTTACAAACCTGCGCTTACTTACGGTGCTCCGGTAACTAAAACCCGGAAAAGGCGAAAGTTCTTTCCAACCAATACCATCCTGCCAGTATCCAAACCGGTCAGCCTCCCATCTGAGAACCTGCCTTCCGTGGTGCAGCCTGGTGCCTCGGCGCCCACAATTCAGCCTGATGCCTCTACCCAGCCTGATGCCTCCATTCAGCCTGATGCCTCCATTCAGCCTGATGCCTCCATTCAGCCTGATGCCTCCACCCAGCCTGATGCCTCCACCCAGCCTGATGCCTCCATTCAGCCTGATGCCTCTACCCAGCATGATGTTTCTACCCAGCCTGATAAACTGATGCAGCCTGATGATTCCATTAGGCCAGTTGACTCGATGCCTGCTGTCGATCCAGACGATCCGGTACCTGATGACCCAGTACCCGCTGTCATGCCTGGTGACCCGATGCCCGCTGTCGAGCCAGACGATCCAATGCCTGATGACCCAGTGCCCGCTGTCATGCCTGGTGACCCGATGCCCGCTGTCGGGCCAGACGATCCAATGTCTGACCCAGTGCACGCGGTCATGCCAGTTGACTCGGAGCCCACTGTCGTGCCTGGTGACTCGGTGCCCACTGCCTTGCCAGATGACGCGGTGCCCGCTGGCGAGCCAAATGACCTGATGCCTGGTGACCCAGTGCCCTCTGTCATACCTGGTGACCCGATGCCCGCTGTCGAGCCAGACAATCCCATGCCTGATGACCCAGTGCCCGCTGTCATGCCTGGTGACCCGATGCCCGCTGTCGGGCCAGACGATCCAATGTCTGACCCAGTGCCCGCGGTCATGCCAGTTGACTCGGAGTGCACTGTCGTGCCTGGTGACTCGGTGCCCACTGCCTTGCCAGATGACGCGGTGCCCGCTGGTGAGCCAAATGACCTGATGCCTGGTGACCCAGTGCCCGCTGTCATGCCTGGTGACCCGATGCCCGCTGTCGAGCCAGACGATCCAACGCCAGATGACCCGGTGCCTGCTGTCGATCCAGACGATCCGGTACCTGATGACCCGGTGCCCGCTGTCGTGACAATTGACTCAGAGCCCACTGTCGTGCCTGGTGACTCGGTGCCCACTGCCTTGCCAGATGAAGCGGTTCCCACTGTCGAGCCAAATGACCTGATGCCTGGTGACCCGATGCCCGCTGTCGAGCCAGATGATCCAATGTCTGACCCAGTGCCCGTGGTCATGCCAGTTGACTCGGAACCCACTGTCGTGCCTGGTGACTCGGTGCCCACTGCCTTGTTAGATGACGCGGTGCCCGCTGGCGAGCCAAATGACCTGATGCCTGGTGACCCGATGCCCGTTGTCGTGCCTGATGACCCGGTGCCCGCCGCTCCGCCTGGGGGCCCGGCGCCTGCCACCCAGCCTGGGGGCCCGATGCCCGCCGCTCCGCCTGGGGGCCCGATGCCTGTCGCCCCGCCTGGGGGCCCGGCGCCCGCCGCTCCGCCTGGGGGCCCGGCGCCCGCCGCCCCCCGGGGGGGCCTGATGCCTGTCGCTCCGCCTGGGAGCCCGATGCCTGTCGCTCCGCCTGGGGGCCCGATGCCTGTCGCCCCTCCTGGGGGCCCGGCGCCCGCCACTCCGCCTGGAGGCCCGGCGCCCGCCACCCCGCCTGGGGGCCCGATGCCTGTCGCCCCTCCTGGGGGCTCGACGCCCGTCGCCCCGCCTGGGGGCCCGGCACCCGCCGCTCCGCCTGGGGGCCTGAGACCTGTCGCTCCGCCTGGGGGTCCGGCGCCCGCCGCTCCGCCTGGGGGCCCGGCGCCCGCCGCTCCGCCTGGGGGCCCGATGCCTGTCGCCCCTCCTGGGGGCCCAATGCCTGTCGCCCCTCCTGGGGGCTCGATGCCTGTCGCCCCTCCTGGGGGCCCGATGCCTGCTGCTCCGCCTGGGGGCTCGGTGCCTGCTGCTCCACCTGGTGGCCCGGTGCCTGCTGCTCCGCCTGGTGGCCTGGTGCCTGCTGCTCCGCCTGGTGGAGTCCAGCTCGATGTGCCTCTGCCCGGAGTCCTGCCCGATGTGCCGCTGCCCGGAGTCCTGCCCGATGTGCCGCTGCCCGGAGTCCTGCCCGATGTGCTGCTGCCCGGAGTCCTGCCCGAAGTGCCACTGCCCTGAGTCCAGCCCGATGTGCCTCTGCCCGGAGTCCAGCTCGATGTGCCTCTGCCCGATGTGCCGCTGCCCGGAGTCCTGCCCGATGTGCCGCTGCCCGGAGTCCTGCCCGGTGTGCCGCTGCCCGGAGTCCAGCTCGATGTGCCTCTGCCCGATGTGCCGCTGCCTGGAGTCCTGCCCGGTGTGCCGCTGCCCGGAGTCCTGCTCGATGTGCCTCTGCCCGGAGTCCTGCCCGGTGTGCCGCTGCCCGGAGTCCTGCCCGGTGTGCCGCTGCCCGGAGTCCTGCCCGGTGTGCCTCTGCCCGGAGTCCTGCCCGGTGTACCAGTCTTTGATACCCCGCAGTTACCAGACCCGGGCGGTGGAACATTTTTGCCCAGCTAGGACTGTTTGGAGCGTCCTGAGGCCGCTCCTTGAGGGGGGGGTACTGTCAGGAATGGACTTGCCAGTAATGGTGGGACTCACCTGCCTTGTGGGCTGCAGTACCAGGGCTGATGCCAGCGGGTGCTCCCAGCAATCAGAGACTCAACCCTGCAGCCAGCCAAACACCTGAAGTTGATTATGCAGGTGTATTTAAGGGATGGCCAGACCTGCAGTCTCTGCCTTGGTGTGTGTTTTTTTTTTTTTTGGGCCCTGTATCTTGTTCCTGCATCCCTGTTCCTGTTCCTGTTCCTGTCCCTGTCCCTGTCTGATTCGTTGCTGACCCTGCCTGATCCGGACCTCTGCTGACTTCTCCTGTTTTATCCCTGGCTTGTGACCCCGACCATTCTCTGCCTGACCCCCTGTACCTATCTGCCCGATTGTTATTGACCCGGCCTGCCTGACGACGCTTGCATTGTATGTACTGTTATCTGTGGGTGGTTTGGTTTGGTTCGTGTGCACTGTGTTATGTTTTAGTATTGCACTGCGTTTATGTTTGTATTGTTAGTCTTTAATAAATTATATTGTTTATAACTTATCTGAAGCCTGCGTTTCCCTGCGTCAGTTCACATACCTCTGGTCATACCCTGGAGCCCTGACACATATATTCTTAACTTATTAGATTTTACCATGACTCCCAACTTTTTTTGGTTTAATGAACAATGTTTTTTACAAATTGAGGGAGTTGCAATGGGCAAAATTTGCCCCCCAGTTTGGCAAATCTTTTTATGGCCCGATGGGAGGAAGACATTATCTATGCGAGGGATTGGCCAGAACACATATTTTACTGTAGATATATAGACGACATCCTGTTTTTATGGCTAGGGAAGAAACTACTCTGAACAATTTTATTAACACCCTCAACAACAACACTTTGAATATTAAATTGACACACACATACTAATAATGTAGATTTTTTGGATCTAACACTAATTAATAATGGTGACAGGATAGTCACCAAGACTGTTCTGTCTTTACAATCTAAGCTTTGATAGTGTCATCTCTGTAACTTACAGTTGTGATGAGATAGCGATAACTTCAACATCAGTTGGATACCACACTCAGTGACTCAATCGATAAGATATCTTGTAGATCGGCATCTGCCGAGCCTGTCAGAATTGCCATCAAGACAGCTGGTCTTTTGGACAGGGTGGAGCCTGATCATGGCGGCTGAGGAGAGCTCGATGTAGGAGCTCTCAGACGAAGCTCCGCTATCCGACCTCCCCAAGCCCCCAAGTTCTTTCTTTCGTAATGCAGAAGTCCTGCAGAGCAAGACCTACCTCAGACTGATGATCCCCCTTGGATAGGCAGCGGTGGCCCGTAAGAGGAGTGACCCAGGAGATAGAGATCAGCTGTGAGGAGCCCGGCGGTGACAGCATGCCTGGTTGTCGGGATACGAAGAGGAGTGGTGTGACCACGTGGTCGGCCGCTGAGCATCGCTGGGAAACCAGGAAGCCAGCCGGCGTTCTGCGCGGTGAGAGAGCAGCTCTGACCTGCTTGCCGGTCTACTCCCCGGAGCCCTGCCTGATTACAACAGAGGAAGGGAAATGCCGTGACCCGGAGAAAGGAGATCAGAGGATACCCTGGGGGTCCCCCTGATGAACAACCGCCCAACTAGAAGGACTGATGGAGGGAGCATCTAGCCGTGTCACAAGAAGAGAAGTGCAAGGAGGGTGAGTGACTCTGGCTGAGGCTTGATGTATATTATACGCTGTATTGTACTGAGCTGTAGGGAGAAGCAGGGTGTGAGAGAAAGGGGGGACCCCTGGGGAATGTAAAGATGTGGAAAGGAGAAGAAGATTGCTGAAAGAAAAGTCTAAAAGACAAGCAAGTGGACAGGGCTGGGACTTGTATATTAATAGCTGTTTTTTCCTATCCCCGAGCCTATAAAGGAGGATAAGAGCTACAGAAGAAATGAAAAATAAAAACGTAAAAGGAAGCGGGCTTAAAGTGACCCAAACTGGTACAATCAAAAAATATACCTCCCCAGGGAAACGTAACCCCAGAAAGGCCCCAGGGTATGATTGAAAAAGGAGAAGTAGACCTTAGTCTGGAAAGTAGCCCTAGACTATCACTAGGACTAGACACTAGTAGCCAACAAATATCAGGTAATATAGAGATGGAAAAAGATCTACAAATACCAAATAAAAAAGAGATGGCAGAAATGTTCAAAGAATTGGAGAAAACAATAAAACAAGAAATGGTAAATATTCGAAATGACCTGGGGCACCTTTTGGTGAGAGTGGAAGAAACGGAGGAGAGAGTTAAAAACCAGACCCAAGCTATTTCCAAATTAGAAAAAGAGATAATTAATATAGGGAAAGTTCAAGAAAAATTGCTTTTATAAGGCTGAGATACAAGAAAATAGGGACAGGAGGAGAAATATCAGGATACGAGGGGTCCCAGAAAACCCAAAAGGAGAAATACTGCAAGAGGTGGTTTGTAAAATATTAAACTCTATAATGGACGGTACTGATATGGAAAGGACTAAAATAGAAGGAACTTTTAGAAAAGGAAAACTCCAAGGAAATCTGGGGAAGGAAAGGCCGAGAGATATACTTGTTAAATTTTACGAGTTTCAAGATAAAGAAAAAATCTGGAGGAAGATTAACGGAAAATCAGTAATTAAATATGGAGGAAAGGATATACAGATATTTGCGGATTTGTCACCAGAGACTCTGTGGAGAAGGAGAACCCTGAGACCTCTGTTGGAACGGTTGAAAGAACAGAATGTGCAATATAGATGGGGGATTCCTGAGTGCCTAATAGGATGGAAAAATGGAGTTACAGCATACCTCAGGTCCCCAGAAGATTTGAGAAACTTTTGTGATAGACTCAAACTACAAAGAATGGAAATTCCTGGCTGGGAAGAAGAACATTGGGAAATTAGAACGAAAAGAGGACTGGCAACTCGTAGGGGGGAGGGGGCGGGGGAGGGGAGGAGGGAGAGGGAGGGAGGGGAGGAGGGAGGGAGGGGAGGAAGGAGAGAAATAATTTTTTCCTTTTTTTTTTTTTTTTTTTTCTCTTTCTTCCTTCTCCCTACCGACCTCTACCCATTTTTTTAGATATTTTCGCAGGACTTGGGGGTCAGTGGGGAGGCTGGAGAAGAAGGGGAAAGTCGTCCAGGGTCGGAGTTTTAGCCCTAAGGATTAAATCAAAAGTGGATTTTATTTCCACAAATGATTGGTAGGCAAACTGTAGGCCTAAAAAGAGGGGGGGGGGGGATTTGAGGATAACTCCCTGCAGGACAAAAGGAGATATAAAAACAAGAAAAAATATAGATGGAGGAGAAAAAGGGAGACCCAAGAAAGATGGAAGAGATACAGTTTATAACTTACAATGTAAACGGGTTGAACTGTCCTGGGAAAAGATTTAGATTATTTAAAGAACTACATCATAGAGCAGCCTCAGTGGTATTCTTACAGGAGACACATTTTGAGATAGAATCAAATGTTAAGTTAAAATCTAGGTACCATCCAACATGGTATTATGCAGACTCACCGGTTAAAAGAGCAAAAGGTGTAGCAATAGGGTTGGCAAAGAATATTGAGTTGGAAGATAGAAAAACAGACCCAGAGGGGAGATTTTTGTTTTGAAGGGGCAAGCTACAGGAGATTGAGTGTACATTGGCTAATATCTACTGTCCTAATATAAGGCCGGAGGCGTTTTTGAAAAAAGTGTTGAGGAAGCTGATGGACTTTAAATAGGCTGTCTGATTCTGGCAGGAGATGTTAACTTTTGTATGGACCCACAAAAAGACGCTACTTCCCATACACAGAGAGAGGGATGTAGGGCCCTGAGATTATTGAAAAAAGAAATACATGTATGCCAACTGGTAGATGCCTGGAGAATCACACATATGCAAGATAGGGACTACACCTTTTTCTCAAATATGCATAAGAGGTACTCAAGATTAGATTATATATTAATAGAGCATCAATTAATTGAACATCTGATTCAGGTAGGGATAGAGACGATGTCTCTATCGGACCATGCCCCAGTTACTATGAAAATGGAATGGGGAAGGAGGACAATAGGAGGGCTGGGATGGAAGTTGAAC